TGGTCTAATATATCTCCGGATAAAAGTTTATGCAAGTAATGTTCATGTCCTGCTTCACCTCTGATATCTCCCCTTACTTGTAGTCTATATTCTGGAAACAGTGACCTATACATTTTGACTGTACATGTCTTGAGCAGCCTGAATGAAGCAAATGATTTGCCTTGACTAGTAAACTAAAGATTAGTACCTCAAACTTACTCAACAGTGCCTTGGAAGATCTGCTGAACAGTGATCTGCTTCTGAAAGATTGTAATCCAGAAAATCATATGGAACAATTCTACTTCCTAACATATGGGGTCACCATGAGTCTTAATCAACCCAATGTCAACTCATCTGATACTATAATACTATATTATGTCCTATGTCTTTGCACCTGCATTTCTGTGTCTTTGCACCTGCATTTCTATGTCTTGGGTTGTTCCCTTACTCATTCTTCCCTGATTAATTGATATCTATGCTTTAGAATACTACTTACTACTTACTTACTTATTATCTTCAACAGGAAACTTTTCCCAATTCCCTTTACCATATTATGCCAGCCTGTAGCAATTGCCACATTATTTTGGAAATATTTCTGTCTTTGCATCTCCATGAGATGCTGTGATTTCTGAAAAAGAGGGAGCTGTGTATTATTCAATTTTGCATTTCTAGTCTCTTGTGTAACCATAGAGTAGTTCTATGAAGGTAGCTATTATTATTATTTTCATAATTCATAATCTCATTATGTTGCCTCCTGTTAATCCTAAATAGAGAAACTAAGGGGAAAAATCATTTGCTTGAAGTTGGGAAAATGGTGTCTATGAAAAAAATATATAAATACAGGCAGTATATGCAAGCTCATGTGCTTCTTGCTTCCATTCACATAGATTTAAAGTGAAAGTTTACAAAGAAAAGTAAGTCTTAAATGTAAGCAGAGTAACAACAACAACAAAAAAAGAAAAACAAAAACCCAAAACACGAAACACCTACCCTATCAGATTTCAAGTGTGCAGATTTATTCCAGTATTTTCTAAAAAAAAAAAAACACAAACCAAAAAATCCCCCACCTAACAAAAATCCTTGCATCTGCAGGCTGAATCCTAATATTCTATTTAGAGAATTCCATTCTTTTGCTTCAAATCTCTTGCCTCTCTCTACTGAAATGTAAATAACTAGGGGAGCCAAATCATTTTGCACAGTATCACTCTCAGGATTCCTTTGAACGATGAGCACCATTAGGGTTTTATTTATAAATATGTCAGACAATACGTTCCGGAGTGCTTCTGTGACATAATGGTATGTCTGAAGTTTGAGAGAGGCTGCTAACATTTTTCCTAGTAGTGAAATGGGACTGAAATTCAATATGCAGCATTTCTAGCATTAAGGCAAAATGGAAAGACAATATGGACTCCAGATCAGGGCAATTCTTTTTAGTGTTGGTGTTATTGCACTAAGCTATTAGCATGCATCTGGTAATTAATTAATACTTTTGTTAACAGCTTCTATGATCCCAGAATCTAGGTCAATAACTACCTTACATGGTTTCAGAGTATCTGTTCATTTATCCTAGCATCACACTATGGTCCCTAACTTTCTTAATACTTTCTACAGAAACTGTCTTCATTCTGCTTCTATGTGTTCATTTTCTTCCTACCTTTGGTTCAGACACTTCTTTGCTTTCCATCCATTATATCAAGAAAGATCACCACTTCAAGACAATTGATCATATTTAGTGATGACTTCAAGATACACTTTTAGGTCTATTCATATATAGAAACTTGTTTCTACAATTTCCATCTCTTTAATACCTCAAAATACCTCTTCTATTCTCACAGAGATCATAATGATGGTATAATGGGTACTTTCAGAGGTATACAATCTTTTCAGTAGAGATAGACTTTGAACAGGATTCAGTTAAGGATGCCCTTCATCACCACTCATATTCAATATTGTGCTGGAAATTCTAACCAGAGCAGTAGGGCAATAAAGAGAAATAAAAAGACATCTCAGTTAGCAAAGAAGACAAAATCACTCCTGTTTGTTGATGATATGCTTCCATATGTAGAAAATTCAGAGATTCTACAAGAAAGTTCCTAGAACTATGAGAAAGTCAAACACAAAGCTATCAAGTTGGAATCAACTCCTAGATGACCATTTGATTTCCAAGCCTGAACGTCAACCACACCAGAGCAGACTGCCCATGTTGCTGCCAAGAAGCCAGTGGTGAATTTGAACTGCTAGACAAGCATAGCCTTTATGACGTACACTACTATAGAGGGATTAGCTATATATCGCTATAGAGGGATTCATTGAACTGGCAAGTACAGGATCAAAAGGGGGGAAAAATTTGTCCAATAAATCTATAATAACCAAGAGAACACTGAAAAAGAAAGCAGTACCATTTACAGTTGTGATATTTATGTACTGTCAAATTGGAGCCAACTCATAGCTGACCCAAGTCTTAGAGGCTGTTCAGTTACAGTAAATTGCACAGGAACACATAGTCCATCTTTCTCCAGTGGAACAGCTCGTGGTCTAGAACTGCATACCTTTGGGGTGGCAGCACCATTCCTTACCACTGGGCCACTAGAGCTCCCACTTACAGTAGCCAACAGAAAATGATTAAATCATTGTTATTATAGTTGTTAGGTGCCGTCAAGTCAAGTACAACTCATAGCAACCCTATGAACAAAAGATCTGAATCTAGTCCTGTTCTGTACCATCCTCACACTTCCTGACACACAAGAGCCCATTGCAGCAGTCACCTTGTCAATCCACCCGGTTGAGGGTCTTCCTCTCCTTCGCCGACCCTCCATCCTTCCCAGCATCATGTTCTCTTCAAAGGAATAGCCCCTCCTAACAACATGTCCAAAGTATTTGCCTCATCCGACTTAGGCATTGACCTAACCAGCAATTTGACAGACATACAAAAAACCAAAACTACAAAACACAATGCACAAAACCACGATCCCTATGTAAGTGGAAGTGTCTACCATGCTAATAGATAGAAAAACTTGACATTGTGAAAATGTCACTTCTAGCCAAATTCACCATCACAGAAAATGTACTCTGGATTCCGAGTCCATCAACATTCTTCATGTAAAAGGCAACAGTGACAAATGGTATCACATACACAATCTTAATTACAGTGATACCAAGCAACAATTTGCATATGTACGCTGGGCACAAGTAAGATGGAATGTGGATGAACACCCACGAGCATACCTAGATTTGGCCAGCGGTATTCCCATATACGCATGTGCTGCAAGTGGGTTAAGTACATGGTAGAGTTGTCAAGGGCCAAAGTTATGCAGATTTGGTAGGCATGAGAAACACCTTCTTGAACTACAGCATTGGACTTGAGAGCTTAGGATCCGAGTCTCAGAGACACATCTAGATCAGTTGCCATAATATAGTCAATGTAGACAATGTTCTATACCCTGCATAGGTGAGTAGCAATTGTGGTTTTAACAGCTTTCCAGTGGCCATCTTGACTACTGGTCTCTTCCTGTCTGGAGCTAAAAAGAGTAGAGAAAAAGAAAAGTACTCAAGGAAACAATTAGTCCAAAGAGTTGTGACCATACAACTCACAACTAGTGGGTTTCTAGTTTGAAACCAGAAAAACTAGATGATGACCAGTTGCCACTATCAATAGCCCTGATCAAGATTATAGTAGAAGGTGCTAGAAAGGGTGAAGAGGGAGGAAAGAACAAATTCAAAATGATTTAAAAAAAAGACCATTGTGCAAAAATGAAAGAATCTTTGTAAAGAGAAAAGTGAACTGTGGGGGCTGGAGGAAATGTGAAATAATGAATGATTGGAAATCCAAGTTTTCTGTAAACTTTTGTTAAAATATAAGTATAAAAAACTTAAAAAAAACCAACCAGACTTACTCATGTGATAGAGACTGATGGAACCCTGAGACTACATTTCTTAGACACCCTTTAAGTGTGAAACTGAACCTACTCCCTATTCCAAACAATAAACGGGTCAATAAAATGAACAGTTTTATTAGAACTCTGATGACATAGTGTTTAGAAGGTACACTGCAATCCCAAAGGCACGTGGTTCGAATCCATCAGCTGCTCTGCAGGAGAAGGATGGTCATTCTACTCCCGTGCAATTAACTGCCTCTGAAAACCCACTGAAGGATCAGCTATGGCTCAGTTCTGACTCGAGGGCACACACAACCCACAAAGAAAAATGAGTCTGTGAAGAACATGCTTCTCAAAACAGTCAACCATACAAGATCAAAAGGGCAGTATTTGAGAAAAACAGAGCTTAGAAAGCAGTAAGGGGCAGAGAAGGAGGATGAATGGAAAAGGGCAGCTCACCAGGAGAGTAGGAAGAATGCTGTTAAATTAAGAGAGTTATGACAAATGTCACAAAACAAAACAACATGTAGGAATTGGTGAATGAGAAACGAATGTGGTCTGTAAACTTTCACCCAAACCACAATATAATAAATGTTTTTAAAAATTTAAGTATGAAATGTTGTTTACTATTTTATTTTTTTTATTTACTGTTTTACTCATTGTGAGCCATTTTGATATAATCATTTGGTGGTTGTTGATTGGAGTAGATATACCCATTTAGTGCACCTTATCAGTTCTGCCAAATGGCATTTAAGGTTTCCCATTCCAATCTGCACAGCATTCCATTCGCATGTGTTTAAGTCTTCATTAGCCAGGCCAGGGTTTTGCAATATGTACCTTGCAACTTTAGCTCTAGATTAAGTTTGGCTTTCAGGTTATATAAACAGAGCTCTTTTATCCTAAATGAAAGGACATTAGCATATCTTGCAAGCTTCCCTCCCCCTCCTCAGGAGAGAGTTTCACAAACACAGTGGTTTCCTGATTAACAAAAAAAATTTTTTTATCATATTGTGATTATCAGTTTGTAAATAATGGAGCTAGAAATTGACCTGGGAATTTCATGACCAAATTCAGAGCTCCCAGGATTCATTTTGAGAAGAATGCCACAAGCCAAATAAAGAATTTCTTTTTCATCTCATTTCCTAGGCCTTCAAGAGGGAATTGAAAACTAAAGAACCTGTAATCATGAGTACTCTTGAGACTGTACGAATATTTTTGACAGAGCAGCCTTTGGAAGGATTGGAGAAGCTCTACCAGGAGCCCAGAGGTAATTGAATGTGGAACTGTAATAACATATTGATAGAGGGATCAGTGTTGACAGAGCAACCCATCCATTCTGGCTGCCAGGGTCTAGATGTCTTTCACATTTTCTGGGTTAAATGGAATCAATTAAAATTAAACATAAATGTTGACAAAGAATCAGGAATCATAAACCACCCTTGTGCAGATGTGTTTGCACATTCATAACCAAACAGGAAGAGAGCTTAGTTACTAGTTATTGAAACATTTGGAAAATAATAAGCAAAGGAAGTTTGTGAGGAGAAATGCTATTGTTACAAAGAGGACAGGCTCATTTTCCATGTAAAGGCCTGGCTGGGGTCAGTTAGAGATTGTGGCATGCATCCTAACACTTTTCTACTCTATAGAATAACTGAATCTGAGATTAGCTGATTGGTAGAAGATAGAACTGATTCACATGGCAAGAAGGACATTGAGTGTGGTAGATTTTTCTCAAAGATAATACCCCAGCCTTTAAAAAGTCAAGAATCAGCTGACTGACCTCTTGTTGTAACTGTTACTTTCCCCCAGTATGATCTTTTTCACCAGTAATGTTGTTATCGTTACTGTTATTCAACCAAAAAACAAAACGAACGTAACCTGAATCCTTGCCGTTTTGCCAATGTAGAGCTGCCTCCCGAGGAGAGAGCCCAGAACGTTGTTCGGCTGCTAAGAAAGCAGGCGGAGGAGGTCAATGCCGAGTGGGAGAAACTGAACCTGCACTCTGCCGATTGGCAGAGAAAGATCGATGAGGCCCTTGAAAGACTACAGGAGCTCCAGGAGGCGGCAGATGAGCTGGACCTCAAGCTGCGCCAAGCTGAGGTGATCAAGGGATCCTGGCAGCCCGTGGGGGATCTCCTCATTGACTCGCTCCAAGATCACCTCGAAAAAGTCAAGGTACCGTTCACTGCTCTGCTCCAGGGCCCTTTCTGAAACCCTGGGGCCTAATCCAGGCTTGACTGGGGCATTTTCTCTTCCCTTAAACCACCCCTCCCCCAGACGTTCTAATCTGAGCTGGAATGTGGCATATTCTTCCCCACAAAGTTAACAAACAGGCATCTTGAGAAATAGATGTGAGCCCCACCTTTGCCAAGTTCAGGATCTTCTCGCATGTGGCATTTAGACCAAGAGAAGAGGACGACATGCCAGGCTCCCTTCAGGGCTATAAAATGAAACATTAAACATTTACAAGCCAAAAGAAATAACTTTGGTTTTGCTATTAACAAAATTCATTTTAAATGTTTGTACTGAAGCAGGATGATTTTTTTTTTTTTTACTCTCCATAATTTGTGCTATTTACTCTCCAAGTAGGCAAAATGCAACTTGTAAGAAGATCTGGCATCTCACTTTTGGTCTTTGGGCTAATGAAATGGTTTCACTTGGGTAAGCCTGGTGCTGGGAAAGAAGCCTGTTAATGCTGTCCATCCCTTAGAAGGCAGTGTGGAGAATACAGGTTTTGGTTGCGTTAGTTCCAAAATGGAAATTAAGAAATATTATAGGTGAGACCAGGCTGCTCCTTGGAGGCAAGGATTCTGAAGCTCCGTCTGACATACTTTGGGCATGTTGCAAGGAGGGCCCAATCCTTGGAGGACGTCATGCTTAAAAGGGTGGAGGGACAGCACAGGAGAGGAAGACCCTCAATGAGATGAGATGGATTGACTCAGTGACTAGAGTAATACGAGTAGGTGTGTCAGAGACAATAAGGTTGCCTCGGGATAGAGCAGGGTTCATAGCTGTTGTACATAGTGTAAGTGACTTGACAGCACATAACAACAACAAACAATCTCTTGGAACACTTTTCCTGAGAGTGAAGTTAAATTTCCTTCTAGTTCAAAGGTGGTTAATACTTTTTTTTTATGGTGAGAAAAATTTATATTTAGAATTAGCCCGCTGGACTCAGTTAAGATGATCCCAGTTTTGTTGGCAACATCCAAAGCATCATAATCAGGAGCAAGTTGAACATAGGCCCTCTTCTCTCCATCAGGTCTAATCAAGGTGTTGACCTTAGCCACATCAATGTCATAGAGCTTCTTTACAGCTTGTTTAATTTGGTGCTTGTTGGCCTTGACATCCACAATGAACACAAGTGTGTTGTTATCTTCTATCTTCTTCATGGCTGACTCAGTGGTCAGGGGAAATTTGATGATGGCATAGTGGTCAAGCTTGTTTCTCCTGGGGGCGCTCTTCCAGGGGTATTTGGGCTGCCTTTGGAGTCTCAGTGTCTTAGGCCACCAGAAGGTGGGTGACGTGCGGATCTTCTTTTTTTTTTGGCTGTGGATGTCCGTCAGGACTGCCTTATTGGCCTTTAATGCCTTTGCTTTGGCTTCAGTTTTGGGAGGGGAAAGGGCTTCCTTCTTCACTTTACACACCATCTTCATAGAAAGGTACATTGATTTTTTTTAAAAAAAAAAAGAAAAGTAAACGTCTTCTATTTACCCTTCGAGTACCAAAGCCACAAAAGTCTCTGTTGATTGAAAATCAGAAAAAAGTTAATATTCTTCTCTGCGTTTGGGGTGTTTGCCGGCACCCTTATTCTGGAAGTTTTCTACTCCTTTGAATTTCCCGGCACCACTCTGCCCATGCTCTACTTCTCTCTCTTCTGTTCCTGAGTCTTCACCTTGTTACCCACCCTTTGGTTCCTGTTAATGCAATAAGCTGCTACACAAAGGGTTGGTGATTCAAGTCCCCCTCGAAGTGCCTTGGAAGAAGGACCCGGTGGTCTATTTACTTCTGAAAGTTAACCACTGAAAACCCCATGAAGTGCACTAATACTTTAATACATGTGGGGGCATATTGAGGTAAACTCAATTCAACACCAACCCACCCTTAAATGATGATGTTGTTAAGTGCCGTGAGTCGTAGATGACTCATAGCAACCCTATGAACGAAAGACCAGAATGATTGTGTAACTTTCAACATTTTCTCCAAGTTCATAGGTGAGTCTAAATTTCTGACCTTGGCCAAATTCTCGTCCCATTGTATGAATAGTTCTGCTCTGAAATTCCATGATTAGTGACAAAACTCTGAATGTCTGGTGTGAATTCCTCTCCAAATCGCCTCGCTCATATGCCATTGGTATCCCCAGTGCAGCCAATTGAAAAGCAAGTTCACTTGTTCTCATGCTTCTATCTCTGTTCCTTCCTACCCCTCCTGTGTTTTCTGTGTTAGGAATTACACACTTATTCTTTAATTCCAGGCTTCACTGACTGAGTTGCTCATTTTGTGATAGAGAACTTCTCATTATAGCTTCTGTCCTCTTTTCAGCAATGCCCTGTCATTTCTGACTTAAATGATGATGGGTGTGGGTGTGTGTGTGTGTGTGTGTGTGTGTGTGTGTGTGTGTGTGTGTGTGTTTTGGAGGAAGTACAGCCAGAGTGCTCCTTGGAGGCAAAGATGATAAAGCTTCACCTCACGTACTTCAGGCATGTTGCTAGAAGGGGCTAATCCTTGGAGAAGGACATAATGCTTGGAAAGGTAGAGGGTCAGCGAAGAAGAGGAAGACCCTCAGCCAGGTGGATTGACACAGAGACTGTCACAATGGGTTCTAGTGTGTCGGGAAGTGTAAGGATGGCACAGGATAGAACAGGATTCAGATCTGTTATTCATAGGGTCACTACAGGTCACACTCAGCAGCACCAATTATACAGATGGATGGAGGTATGGAGAGATGGGGGAAGAGAGTGAGAGCGCCATCCCATTTCCTAGTCACTGTATTGGTCTATCATCACTCAGACTCACTCAGTCACTCACTCATTGCTCTTGAGGTGGAACCCTCCAGGAGGTTTCCAAGTTAATAAGTTGCATGAAAGGAGATTGCCTATTTTTCTCCCACAAAGCAGCTGGTGGATTTGAACATCCTCCTTTTGGATTGCCAGCACAACTCCCCATCCAGTAGGCCACCAGAGAGAGCTCCCTGATGCTACATTTTAAAAATTCAGTTAGTAACTAAGTGGATGAACAGTATTCTTCACTATTGTTTCTTCATTATCTAGTCTCTTGTAGTTCTAATCCAGTCTCTTCACGGGACCTTCCCAACATAAACTATTTCATGTGTCAACTGACTTCCACTTGCCTAGTCCAATGAATGAAGAGCACTGTAATTGTTGGGCATCACCAAGTTGATTTTTCTGCTCACAGCAACTCTGTGTAACAGAGTTATTGTTGTGTACCATCAAATAAGAACCAGCCCATAGCTGGCCCTCCGGCGGATTTTCCAAGCTAATTACTTGCATGGAAAGAGATTGTTCGTCCTTCATCTGTGGAGCAGCTAGTGGATTCAGAGGGCACACCTTTGGGACTGCAATGCAGCTTCTTACCACGAGGCCAGCAGAGCTCCCCACCTTATGTGGGATTATGGGCTGTAGTCATTATGAGACCCTACTGGCAGGTCTTTCTCACCTGAGCTTCTGGGTAGTGGTGAACTATCAAGCTTCCAGCTAGTAGCAAAGAGTTTAGCCATTGAATCATGAGAGTTCTTTATGAAGAATGTAAATGACCCTTTCCCTCCTCGTCCTAGCTTATGTCTCCAAGTGTAGCTTTCCTTTTCCAAGATATTCAGTGCATTCTGGTTATCAGCCAAACATGCTATCTTTCCTCAGACTCTCTACCTTTGCAAACACTCTTCTCTCTGCCTGGATCACCCTTGCCTTACTCACCTGGTAACCTCCCACTCAGCCTCAAGTCCCAACTCAAATGTCAGCAGTATTGTTGCTGTCTCGTAGTGCCTCCCACCCTCCATTCTCCCCAAGCTGAAGATGTTGTTATCAATTCAGTGCTCTCATACTTCACATAAACATGCTTATATTGCTGCTTGGATATGTCACATATATTTTAGCAAGTTATTACATATTTTTACATAAATTATTACATGATTTTTCCTTAGAAAGAGAGGTTGTTATTGGCTTGCTTACAAAGTTTATATACTTTGTGTTTCACACTATTCTTCATTCCCATTGTTGTGTCATATGATCATTCTCAAACATTGTTTTCTAAAATTAATCCCCATTGGACCTTGCCCTGTCTTGTCACCTAGATCTTTTTCATTTGCTTCCCCGCCTCCCTCTACTGATTAAACCGTGCAGCCCTGTGGCATTTTTTAATTCCCAGGTTCTACCACAGTGCCAGCAACATACAGAGTTGAGTTTCTTATTTCATATCACACTCACTCAGTGCAGTTGAGTTGGAATCAACTTGTAGCTAACCCTCCAGTGGGTTTTCAGATTGTAAATTGGCAAGTGGTTTGTAAACTGCTGTAAATTGCACAAGAGGAAAATGCCCATCTCTCTCCCACAGGGTAGCTGGGGTGGCTTTAAACAGTCAAAGAGTGTCAAAGAGGCACTGCTTTTTGCTTTTTTTTTTCTCCCTGTTGTGTACCATGGAATTAGATCCGACTGGCACAGAAGGAGATTGCCCCTCCTTCTCCAGCAGAGCATCTGATGGATTCAAACCATATACCTTTGGGATTGCAATGCAGCTTCCTGCCACTAGGCCACCAGAGCTCCTTTGAGGTACTGCTTTTGGGTTAACAGCACAATTCCCTCTGGAATAAGCCACCAGAGCTTCCTATTCTTCCTTCATACAGTCAACAATTGTTTCATGAGTCCTTATGCAATGTGCTAAGGAACACTGGTGGCATGGTAGGTTGAGTGTTGGGCTGCTATCCAAAAGGTGGTTAGTTCAAATCCACAAGCTGCTCTGCAGATGAAGGATGAGGCATTCCCATTCCATGAAGAATTGGACCCTCAGAAACTAGATGGAGGGTCACTACGAGTTGGAATTTGCTGAACAACAATGTGTCAGCAGTGGGATGTGATAGGCTATGCAGCAATGGTGGTTCACTGATAGGATTCTTCTCTTCCATTAGGGAGACCTGCTCTCAATTCCCAATCAGTGGCCCT